ATTTTTTGGGGGGGAGAAGAGGACTACTTAGGTGGTACTGAGCCTCCCTGGAGGTTGGGGCTGGCACCACAGACTCTGGCTTCCATAGATGTGTTTGGAGATGACGGTCTTGTTCCAAACAAAAGGTGCCCCCCACAGCCGAGCACTCTGAACTGTGCTCGCAGAAGATGCCAGAATCACGACAAACAACGAGACAGGAGCCCCTGGCAGTGAAGAAGCCGAAGAAACCAGCTCCAGAGGCTAGATGCGTGGCTCGCCCGTCTCTGCTGAGATGAACACGGGTTCGAATTAGCCCAAGGCGCCACCTCAGTTCTGTGTGGCTTTTTATGTCTTTGAGTCCTGTTCATCCTTGTTGAACTTTCAAGACTGCCAAGCTGTGACGCACACAGTGCTTCTGTGGACAATGGGGTTGTGAGGCTTAGTCCCTGCTTCTGTTCTGGGGCCAACGCCCAGTGGAGTCTGGGGGGAGGGTCACTCCTGGGGGTGTTAAGGGGACAACACAGTTCAGGTCCTCCATGCTAAGCTGGCCATGCGTCTGTGCTAACCTTCCTGTATCCCTTGGGATTTTTCAGAGGAAAAGAACCCAAGGACTGTGAGAGGGGAGAGAAGAGAGAGAGGAGAAGGGCTCGGGAGGGAGAAGAGGGAGAGGAGATATTTATTTTATTTTATTTTTTGATAGTATAAGCTTTTAATGTGGATAGAAAATATTCACAATCACGATCATCCTGTTGTTCGTCGATTGTCTCGAGCAGGCACCAGTAACGTCTCCTTCTTCCTAGCCCCGAGATTTAAAAGAGCCATTTCAATGCTCTTTCAGGATTAGGAGGATGACACCCATCATTGTTACTGGTATTTGGCATATTGAATACGACACGGGAAGTTTGCCAGACTCTGCCATGCAGGCAGGATACTTTTGGTAGCCTGCCAGGTTCTCCAAAGGAAAGATAATAAGATGTCGCGTGGCCGCAAATGCGGCCACATGCTTCTGAGAGCTGGGTTTTATAGTCTCTGCGTCTTGGTTGTTGATGGGACCAACCTGGCGCTGGCAGCAGCTGGTGGGTGTGATGACTACCTACTGGAAGATGGAGGGTCTGGGTGGAGAAGGCCCAGTTCCAATCCGAGTAGGCTTGGAGACCTCAGCCCCGGGACCCGCATGCCTGGGTTCCTCTGCCAGTTCTTTCATGCATGAGGCCCGTCTGGACGTGTGGAGAGTGGTCCCAGCATGGCCGTGGCTGGCTCTGGAGGTCCTCAGCTGCTGGGACTCTGCTCGGGGCGGGGGAGAGGGAGAGAAACTAACCCTCCCCCTCCAAGCGGCCCTGGTGAGGACAGCCAGACATGGAGGCAGGAGAAAATATTATAGAAAATATTAATGACTCAGAAATGTTTCGGGTTTAAAATAAGATTATGGTTAAGTAAAAAAAGCACAGGTTCTGGGCTCTAACCAATAAAGGCAATTGAACTTGATCTCTTGTCAGTTTATCCTCTGCAAACCAGAAATAATTTTTTTTTAAATTTTTTTAATTTTGGGGTCACAATCGGAGCAATAGCACAGTGAGTAGGTCATTTGCCTTGCACGAGGCTGACCCGGTCGACCCGAGTTCGATTCCTCCGCCCCTCTCGGAGAGCCCGGCAAGCTACCGAGAGTATCTCGCCCGCACGGCAAAGCCTGGCAAGCTACCCGTGACGTATTCAATATGCCAAACACAGTATCAACAAGTCTCACAATGTAATTCGGCCCTCTTGAGGAAACTGATGAACAACGGGAGGACAGTGACAGTGACAGTGACCCGACGAAGCTCACCAGAACTCCTTTCTGAGTTCACCTTTGGATGCATTTCCCAGTGGTGCGTCCCTCGGCCATCAGAAGATCCGGAGTTATTCACGAGGGGGTAACACACGCCAGGCCAGCAGGAGGGACCCCCGCCCCCACCCCCATAGACAGTCACCATGCATCAAGCCAGGTACTCCCTAGAGAAACCTGAGGATCAGTGACCAAGGGGGGGGGTGTCATACCTGCCCCTTTTCTTCCGGGGATACTCCTTATTTCCCAGGACGGAGGGTTCTGGATGGGTGAGACCCAGCCATCCTGTTTACTTCAGTTCTCTGGTTCCATTTCTGTGAGTGATCTGCAGCACCAGGTGAGGCAGAGGGGGCTGGCAGGACCCTGGATGCCTGAGCGAGGCATGACCCCTGGCATGACCCACCCTTCAGATCTCTCTGGCGCCTCTCACATTCCATGGCAGCTGAGAGGGAGGGACCCGCAGTCCTCTTGCCCGCCTTTCAGTGGTGGCCACAGGGCTGTCCATGCATCGCAAGGCACAGAGTCTAGGGCCGCAAGAGTTTGCGGTGTCTCTTCCTCAATGTTGCAGGGAAGGTGATGGAGCAATTTTTTTTTTTTTGCTTTTGCTTTTTGGGCTACACTCGGCAATTCACAGGGCTGACTCCCGGCTCTGCACTCAGGAATCACTTCTGGAGGTGCTCAGGGGACCCTATGGGATGCTGGGGATCGAACCCGGGTTGGCCATGCGCAAGACTCAATTGATTCTTCTGTGCACGTATCACACCTCTTGCATGCCTGGGAAGTTCCGGGCCACTGGCCACCTCATCACTGACCACTTCTCCAGGACCCTCTATCTGCGGGAGGCCGTCCCGAGTGGGTCTCGCTGTGCCCACAAGCACCATCCCTGCCACTGTTTCCCTGAATTTTGCTAAAGGGTATGGGTCTTTTGTTTTGTGTTTTGGGTCACACCCGGTGATGCACAGGGGTTCCTCCTGGCTCTGCACTCAGGAATCACTTCTGGTGGTGCTTGGGGGGGCCCTGTGGGATGCTGGGACTCAAACCCGGGTTGGCCACGTGCAAGGCAAACGCCCTCCCTGCTGTGCTATCGCTCTAGCCTGGGTCATTTAGTCTTTTCTTGCCCTTCTGTTCTACCGTTGGGCCCCCTCGCACCTAACTCAGCACCCAGCACACAGGGACCCTCACATACCGGGTCTTATCCCAAGAGTTTCTTAAGTTCTTAACTGGGGTGGCGGTGGGGCTTCAGAATTTTCCCAGAAATCCTACCCCCCATTTCTGTCGCTATTGGAATGGCTAAATCTCGTGTACTTGGCCGTTGCTTGCCCACGTGGCTGCAAGGCCAAGCCAAGGAGGGCAAAAGGCGGGGTGATGCCCAGCATGTGGGATGATCCCGAGGATGGAACTTGGGGTCTCACGCCTGCAGAGAGAACGCTCCCATGAAGCGCCAGCTCTGCAGCCCCACAGGGAATTTCTACAACATTCAGGGGTGGGGCCTGATCCAAGAGCATCTTTGTGGGGTCTACTGGCTCAAGGCGGGGGTACAGCCCACCTGGGTGCCAGGTGTTCCGGTCTGGGGCGCTCTCCTGCTGTCCCCAGCGTCCCCAACCCCGGGCTCTGACTCTGGGAGGGATGGAGGGAGGGCCAGCATCCGGGTCACCGTGAAGACACCGGGGACCAGAATCTGGGTCACTGTAGAGATACCGGCTGGGCAGTGAGAGCAAGACCCGTCACAGAGCGCAGTGCACTCACGGGAGCCCCTGTGCATACCCCCAGGGCCATTTGTTACATTTCGTCCTTGAAACATTTTTTTTTTTTATTTTGAGTCACATCTGGCAATGCACAGGGGTTCCTCCTGGCTCTGCACTCAGGAATCACTCCTGGCGGTGCTCGGGGGACCCTATGGGATGCTGGGAATTGAACCCGGGTCAGCCGCGTGCAAGACAAACGCCCTCCCCGCTGTGCTACCGCTCCAGCCCCCATCCTTGAAACTTCTCGATGCCTCTTTTTATGGGGGTGGGGGGACCCAGCAGTGCTCAGGGCTGACTCCCGATTGCATTCAGGGCTCCGGGACTCTATGGGGATGCCGGGAATCGAACCCGAGTCAGCTGCGTGCAAGGCAAGCGCCCTGCCCGTTGGACTCTCAGACTGATACCCCACGGGGCCAGGGTCCGTGATCTCGGCTTCCTCCCCAGGACGAGGCTCAGAAAACAAAGGGGTGATGCTGCTGCTGTGTGAGCCTGGGCACGTGGCACCCCCCCGACCCCGACTCTCCTCCTGGGAAGTGTTGCCTGGGACCCGGGGTGATGGCAGAACGCAGGGACTTCTCTGGAAACGGCCTCCCAAAAGCTGCTGAAGGCGAGTGAGTGGGGACCACACAGGAGCATTACTTTATAAATCGGTTTATTTACAGATTTCTCCTTCTGAAAGTACATTTCGGTTAACAAATCTATTTACACAGGTGTACATGGGCACGGGCCCCCGTTATTTTACAGATCATACTTACAAGACCACACCCCAAGTCCTCCGTGCCATGGGGCACTGGGTGTGGCAGTTGGCTGAAAGCAGCCCTCTGGAGGGGCTATTTACACACACACACGCACGCACGCACGCACGCATGCACGCACTCACACGCACACAGTAAACGGGCTCGTTTTTCATGTCTGCACGGAAGTACAGTACGTACATGGAGGCGGCACCTCCCAGGGAACGCTTTGCAACGCGCTGACCCAGAAGGCTTTGCAAAGTCCGGGAGGAAAAAGCTATTAAACGTGGGTTAAAATGACAGTACCTCCTTTGACCTCAGGTGGCGGAGGGGTGGGTTTATTTTTTGTTTTGTTTTTCTTCACATTTTTATAATACAAACAGTTTACTGAGTCAGTTAGGATGATTTGTAAACATGTGAATCCCTACGATTGGTGTGAAACTTGTATCAGTGTAGTTCCTATGTTCACGCTGCTGCTTTGCTCACTAGTATCGTTAAGGTAGTAAAAGATGTGGGTTGGAACTTCTTGCAGAAAAGTTATGAGTTTCTAATGCTGTGCGAGTACACGCTTAATTCAAGTATTGCAAAAAGCTAAGGCCACTTTTTTTTTCAAGACAAGAAAGTGAATATATTTTTTTTTATCAATAGGCCACAACACTTGAAAGATAATTTCTCGGAGACCTGTAGTCAGAGAAGGAATTTTCTTTTCTTTCGAGCAAAAGAAGAAAAAAAAAAGATCACTGCTACGTGAACTCCTTTGGAACGCTTCCCACTTTCCCCTCGGCGGAAAATTCCTTGTTCGACCTGAAGAGGGACTGTGTACCCTGTACTTGAAGTCACCCAGAGTTAAGCACCCTGGACAGCAGACATCATTTTGGACGCAGAGGTGAATCCGAAGTCACTTCGGTCAGTTTTTCTCCTAACCTCTGCTAAGTGCTTCTCGGAGAGCTATTACTGCTGACACAAAGATCTTTTTCTCAGCGGAAAAATGATGATGAAAGAGTGAAAGAGGATGGGGGATGGGGAGGAAGAAGGGAGATGAGTGCGAGGGGACAAGTTAGATTCTGGTGAGAGGCGGAGCTTGGTTCAAAGGAGCCCAGTAAGACACAGTGGCCGAGTGACCATCATGTCCCTCCTGATCCCAAGACACCCATTTCCCAATGAAAATGCTAAGACAGGTGCAGACTCCAGGCTGTGGGTGGTCTCTTCTAGCAGGAAGCAAGGCTGACATAAGTCTGACGCTTCTCCTGAGCCCATGAGTCTTGGGACTCAGGCGGGTGGGGTCTGGAGGCCGGGGAAGGACGGCCGGGCTTTCCATAGTGCTTTCTGGAGAATCTGACGTCCAGACCGCCGCGCTCACAGACTCACAGGACTTTTATCCCTCCTCTATTTCTAGAACCCAAACGTTGTCCAGAGTCAAGATAAACTTTCCCTTTTCCAATGGGTTTAGTGCCAACAATAAGCCTGGAGAAAAGAACAGCTCGATCCCTATGATTATATTATCTTCCTCTCTGTTTATATAAAATATTGACAGCAGCGGTGACAGTCGGGACAACGCACTCCCACTCGTCTTTCTGTCCTCCCGACGACAGGCCGCTGAGAAGGTGCTGTTCCCCCCGGCCCGGAAAAAAGCCAGGCTCCAGGCAGCCTCTGTCCTGCTGCCTAACCACCAGGCAAACCCGGGCTTGTCCCGAGTCCACCTGCCTGTTATGGCTACGCGCCTCGCGCGCATGAGGAAAAAGCCGGGAAGCAGCCACGCTGGCCGGCCGCCCGGCCCGGCGCCTTCCCGGGACCTCGCGTGCGGTTCAGTGCTTTCCTTAGTATCAAGAGCTATCACACCAGTCACTGTGCAAAATGCAAGATTGCAATGACGACGGTTGGGGAGGGTCTCCTATGACAAGATGAAACTCAAGAGGGTGCGGATATGTGCATAGTGAAGTGGGGGGGGCGGTGGAGGAGAGAGGGGCGGCGGGGAAGGCGTGCGCATGCTCCGCGCCTCGGCCGGTGCTGGGGCTGTCCTCACGGGGATGGGAATGCCACACCCAGGGGCGCGGGTAGCCGTGAGTCCAGGGGGGTGTCTGAGATCAAGCTTGTGACCGACCTTCGGAATTAAGGCATTTACATTCGCGCCTTGGGTTAGCCACGTTCTTCTGGACCACTGGAGAAGCAGAGGGCTGGCTAGGAGGGCCAGTCGAGAGCAGGGCCGGGGGCGCGGGCAGAGGAGGCCCCGCGCGTGCACGCGTGCTGGAGTCTGATGCGGTTCCGTTCAGGGAAGCAACGGTACCAGAGGCAGAACCGAGCTCGGAGGGGCCTTCGTTCGCTTCCTCCCAGGCCCGCTGCTGTGGGTGGTCTGGAGGGAAAACGCCTCTTCTTCCACTGACCCTCGAGGGGCGCGTGAGAACCTCGGTTTCCTGTGCAAAAAGCGCGAGCCCCAGAGGCGGCAAGACAGAAGGCTGAACTGTGACAAGAAGACGCTCACTTCCGGGCGGACACACACTGTCGACCTCGCAATAATTTACCTAGCAATAAATTAAGAGAGTTGTGCAGCACACGACGGGCACAACGGGCGGTGCGTTTGTCTCGGGCGCACACGCTCCCGTCCTGCGCGCTAGTCGCAGCGTCTGGCCGGGTGGGAGAAGCGGCCGGGTTGGACTCAGTGACGGCCGATGTGACTTCTGGCCGCTTCCGCCGTCCGCGCGGGGTGGCCTGAGGTGGTCCTGAGGCTCTGGCTTTCGGTGTGCTCAGAAGTACTGGTAGAGGTTCAGAAGGACTGAGGGAAGTGCGAGGCCGGGCGAGGGCCGCAGAAGCCGCCCTGCCTGGGTCTCGATTCTTCCGGCCGTGCTCGGAAGCCTGATTTCCTTTCCGCAGCCACAGGTCAGCACTGATGTCTGCTAACCGGTTCGTCCACTGGGCGCTGGTCAACTGCGTAAGGGAGAAGATGGTCCTCAAAGAGACAGGAGGCGACTCCCGCCGCCCCCCAGCGAGTGACGCGGGCAGAGATGAGTGAACGTGTCTGCCGAGAAGCAGGGCAAGGGCTTAATACTGTCGAGAGACCAGAAGGTTACGGGGCCGGGACACTCGGATGCCATCGTCCCCGCCTCTCTCCTGACTTCCTGTGAGGGGAGGCTCCGCCCCGTCTCCGCTGAGGCTGGACTGCTGCCTGTGGCCCTCACCCGAGCTGGAATGAGGCGCAGAACCACACACTCCATGGACACCAGGGGCGCGCCCTGCCCCCCACAGCCAGTCCAGCGGACAGTCTCCAGAGGAAAAGGCTGCGCGTGCAGCCAGACTGCACTGTCCCGTGAACTCCGACCCGGAAGTCCTTCCGAACAGGGGTGAGGTCCGGCAGCACTGTGGCTCAGATGGAGACGGGGTGCGGGTCGGGGGGCAGAAAGGCCCGGGACTCACATTAGCACTCAGGGGGCGGTTTATTGGCAAACTGTCACACGAGCAGCGCCCGGCCCTGCCTGTCGCTGATGCGGTTCAGCACGTCCACTGTGTCCCGCAAGAGGCTCTCGAAGATGCCCTCGGCCAGCTGCATCTTCACGCATAGCTCGTCCTCGTCGTAGTTCACCCACTGGGCCTCCTCCTCGTGGAGCTCCTGAACCTGGGGGGCACAAGAGGGGAGAGTGCAACGTTTGTCACGGGCCAATGCTGTGGCCCTTGAGCGGGAACAAGGTGAGCCACAGGCGAGAACACGCAGCTGTTGCATTAAAGCGGTGCCATGTATGTGTGTGTGTATGTGTGTGTGTGTGTATGTGTGTGTGCGTGGGTGGAGGTGGGGGGATGTGGAGCCATAGCACAGCGTTGAGTGCATCGACCTAGCACATGGCAGACCCGGGTTCGATCCCTGGCATCCCAGAGGGACCCCGAGCACTGCCAGGAGTGATTCCTGAATGCAGAGTCGGGAGTCAGCCCTGAGCATCACTGGGTGTGGCAGTAAGAGAGACAGACAGACAGACATGGGCACGGAGTGACAGCACAGCGGGGAGGGCATTTGCCTTGCATGCGGCCAACCCAGGTTCAATCCCTGGCATCCCAAAGGGTTCCCCGAGCACCGCCAGGAGTGATTTCTGAGTGCAGAGTCAGGAGTCAGCCCTGGGCATCACTGGGTGTGGTCCAAAAAACAGCGGCATCAGGAGCTCGGGGCTGGGGAATACCCGTAGGAGGTTCCGGGTTCGATCCCCCACATCCTCCCCTGGCCACACACCCGCCTCCTGAGAGACTTGCCAGCCGGATAAATACTGAATCGTTTGTTCCCGAGAGCGCATGTGTGACAGGGAACACGGGGCCGCGTGCACTGACCAGGATGTGATCGACTCGGTCTCTCTTCTTCCTCCCAAACTTCATCATTTTCTGCCAGTCGGTTTTGTGATTGGGCTCCTTTTTCAGACTAAATAACTTGAGCACTTCCGTTGCTATGAAGTTCTGTGAAAATAAAGAGAAATGAAGGCGACATGACATGGATCACCGAGGGCCTGAAACGCAGCGCCGGTGGAAGCGATGGCCAACAGGTGCAGAGCGTTCAAAGTGCTGTCCAAATTTCCTCCACCTAGCACGCTGAGCAGTGTGGCAGATTTTTAAAAAATGTGTCAAATCCTCAAGCCGTTTATTTGACTTTTTCATACAACATCTAAAAGTAAAACACAGTGTGTGTGATCCATTCCACAAAGTTGAATGACATTTAAAAGGTTTTAAGAAAATACAATTAATATTTGATTACCTTTTGCTACTTGTACCTATGCAGGGTGGGTGGTTCTCCTCTGGAAAGGGCCAGCCTGTACACATGTGTTTTTTTTTTTTTTGGGGGGGGGGGGGTGGTCCCAGCAGTGCTCAGGGCTTACTCCTGGCTCTGTGCTCAGGGGTCACTTTTGGCAGGTATCAGGGGACCCTTCGTGGGCCAGGGATCAAATCCGGGTTGGCTACATCCAAGGCAAGCACCTTACTTACTACTCTATCTCTCCAGCCCTATTTCTAGAATATTACACTGATCTCTAAATTACCAAAGACTCACCTCAAACTTCCATGTGTAGAAATTGTCTGATTACTTCCTAATTTTTTCTTAAAATAAAATCGCAAAAAATAAAATAATAAAATTTCTTACATGTGAAACGGGAAATGACTATTTGAGAGGCTGAGAGTGAAGCAGACCATCTACCTTACTGCCCCCATGACCGAGTAATGGTCAGCCGCCCCACACAGGAGGGATGGCTCTAAGGTCAGCATGCAGGCCACGTGTGGGGAGCAGGGGTTCAGTCCCCGGCACCTCACCCAGAGAAAAACCAAAGTCAAAAGAAAATAAGGACATACTCTCTAGCTTGGCTCGCAATTTACCATTTTTTCCCCCTTTTTTTTTATTTGGGTCATACCCAGCGATGCTCAGAGCTGACCCTATGGGATGCTGGGAATCGAACCCGGGTCTGCCGCGTGCCAGGTCAACGCCCTCCCCACTGTGCTATCGCTCCAGCCCCTCGTAAAATTTACCTTGATCTCATCTAGGCTGTTGGGATTTTTCACACGCCGGAAATAACTCGAGTTGACCCTGGACGGCTTCATCCACACGGGTTGGTTCAAGTTGGGATCTTCGGCGAAGATTTCCTCAAAAATCTCTCGTGTGAGATCAAAAACCGCCTTGAGAGAGAAACAGGGAAACAAAGCCCAGGGCTGAGAATGCGCGGGCCGGGCGCAGGGGAAGTTCCACCGACGAGCCGAGCTCCGGGCTGCACGCCTACCTGTTTGTAGACCCTCTTACTCGTGCTCTCGAGGTCCAGACTGTTGCTGGTCCCGCCCAGCAGCTTTGCAGGGACGCTGATGGTGTGCAGAGCGTCCCCTGCCTCTCGGCGCTTCCAGAGTTCTTCCGCGGCGCCGTGGACGAGGAGCTCGACCTCCTGGGCAGTGTGCGGCACGGCCAGCAGCACTTCACAGGCCTGCGGGGCGGCTCTCTTGGCCTCGGCCATCAGGGGGACGATGGTTTCTTCCGCCTTGTTCTTCTGGATCTTGTGAGAAGAGCTCAGACCGAAGTCCTCCTCGAACCAATCCTGGTCGTCCCCTAAGACGCTGAGGAACTCCCGACTGACCTCGAGCTCGGCAAGTCTCTTAGCAAGCTCTTCCTGTCCACTGGCGCCGAACACCGGACTCTCCTGGAGATACGGAACCCGCCCGAACAGCACTGGTTAGTGACCTCAGGCCCACCGACACTTGGAGACAAAGCAGAGGCGCACCTGGGTAGTCGGGACTTTAGAAGCAAACGAGGAAGCTGGGGGCCTCCCAAGGGACCACGTAAGAATAAGCCCGTTCCGTGGAGTCGGCTTGTAGGAGCCTTCTAACGGGAAGTTTTATAAAATCTTTGATTCCTCCCACCTTTTTGAATCAACATCAGTCTGGTGTTGAAGGACTGTCTGGATTCTGGGAGCTGGGAACCAGACCGGAAGTTCCTCACCTTTGGTCATCGTCTGGCTCAAGTCACTCACGATCGTGACTTTGGCTCAAGTGCTCAGGAGCAACGGAAACAAGCGCATGGTCTGGAGCACATAAGGTCAGAGCACACACATTCCACCTTTACCGGAATCCACACCCCAGCTGGTGATCTCTGCTGGACAGCCATGACTGAGGTGTTACAGAGACAAAGAACTGGGGGGCTGGGAATCGCTGGGATGGGCCGTGGGCTCCATCTGCCCAGAGACGCTGAAAGGGCATGGAAGCCGTGAGTGGGGACTGTCCCCCCAGCAGTGACCTGCAACATTTGTGACAGCCTCACAGTGACCTAACAGAGAGCGATTATGCTTCGGACAAAAGCAGCAGCGAGGAGGGCTTTAAAAACTAGGACCGCGGTCTCTCCCTAACAAGCATGTCATACACATGCACGGATGTGTGTGCACATACTAGAGCTCTTGGGGGGGGGGGGGTGATGGATTTAACACGTGCTCAAAAGAGGAGGCAAGGACATGTTTTTTTTTGGGGATACTTACGGGCCGGGGATAGAGATCGGGCGAGGACACCTCTTCTTTCTCATCTTCCAGTTCAGACCGCAAGTAGCACTCTGGGACGGCAGGTGGCCGTGTGTCCAGACTCGGGGTTCGGTCCGGAGACGGGGCTCCTCCCTGCTCATCCTCGAGCAACTCCTGGTTGCTGAGCTGGATTTTCTCCTGCCGAGCTCTGTGGATCTGCTGCAGCTGGTTGACTGTGTCCTTGACGAAAACTTCCAGCAAGCTCTCGGTCAGCAGGCTGACGGTCTCCACCTGCTTCTTCGAGGACGACCGGATCTGGGCCTCCAAGTGGTCCTTTTCTCTTGCCAACAGGTCCAGAAGGGGGGTGGGCGGCTTCTCCGAGACGGCCGCGGCAGACCCCTGCTCCTGTCCCGTCAGCCGCTCGCTCAGCTCCTCAGAGAAGGTCCTGTCCAGCGTCTCGTCGCCTGCACCGGAGCTCCTCTCGGTGGCATCTGAGAGATCTCTGCTTTCCTTTGAGGAAGCCAGTGATGTCACTGACGGTTCCCGGTCGACGCTGGAGTCCGACCCCAACTGAATGTCCTGTCCCTTCTTGTCTGACTCTGCTTTAAAGCTTTTATCTCCTGAGGTGTCTGCTTCCTGCGTCCCGGGAAGAAACTTCTCGGAAAGAGCCTCAATCGCATCCTTTTCTCGCTCAAGCTGGGGACCCTGTTTGGCTTTCTCTTCCTCATCGCCGTATCGCTCCTGTTCATCGGAGTAAGCGTCTTCCTCTTGCGGTGCGCCCGCGTGGTCGTCTAGGCTTTCCGGAAGGCGCGAGATTTTCTGAGGGGGGGCGAAGATCCCGTGCTTCTCCTTGCACACGAAGTAGACGATGCCGTCGTAGGTGCCGTTGTTATTCCCCTCAGGCTTGTCCAACTCGACGCCGGCCCAGACGCCTTCGGCGAAACTCGTCTCGCCTTTGAACCGCAGTGTGCCCGGCTGAACGTTGCCGATCAGTACCCGGTCCCCAAGGCGGAGGCCGAGCAGCTCCTCGGGGGCCGAGTCCTTCGCCGGGGCCAGGGGTCCGGTCACCTCCGGGCCGGGCCCGACGTCGCTGCGCTCCTCGCTCTTCATCAGCTCGGTTGGGGACTTGAGCTCCAGCAGCCGCCCGGAGTGGACGCTGCTGGGGGCCGAGAGGCTCTTGCCGCTGAGGCACTCGCTGATCTCATCGTCGCTGCCGAAGCTCGTGGCACTGCTCCCGGAGCTCCGGGTCGACGGGGACCGCTCTCGGCAAGACGCGGTGTCCCTCTGCAGCGTGAGCACGGGGGACGCTGCCACGTCACCTCCGCACGACCCGGCCGTGATTTCTTTCTTGAAAGAGGACGCTTCAAAGTCTTCCGAGTAGGATGTCTCTCTCGGAGCAAGAAGATGCTCTGAGAAGGGGGAGTCTCCTTCCGACGGGACGCCTGGACTCGGGTCCATCCCATCTTGGGGCTCTTTCTGATGGAGACGGTTAATGACCAACCGAATCAGGTTGTTCTGCATGTCCAGAGACTCTGAGGAAAGATCTTCCTTGGGAAGAACTGCCGACGAATGTCCTTGTTTTGTGTCTAGTTTCACTAAGACGTCAGACTCCTCGGACGGCTTCGAACGGGTACTTCCGGTGGCGCTCTCTTCTGAGTCCACGAGACCCACATCTGGTACGTCTGACTTCTGACTCGAAGTTTCTTCGGCCTTGATATCAGACACATCCAGAATTCGACTGGGCACATTTAAGTCCTTGAGTACCTCAGGGAGGTTTTCAAGAGAAGCCCCAGGGTCTGCCCTGGTTTTCCTGGAGGATCTGAGAATTGGAGATGAAGTCTGAAAATGCTCTTCTGTTCGGCTGTCCAATTCAACCATTCTCTTTGCAGAGCCAGACAGAGACTTTTCTGATGACGATCTCTCCGTATCTGTCCCGGCAACATCTTAAAGGAAAAAACAGTATTTGATCACTGTTCTTCGCTGTCTGGAATCAAAGCTTACAAAATCTCAAACAGAATCTTAGAAAGATCTCGGAACAACAATCTCTCTTGTTTGAAACAGAAGGTGAGTTCTCCTTTAAGAGAATATACTTGTAGCTATGATAAATAGAACATTCAAATGAATGAAAACTTTTGAGTTTGAAATAATTTTTTTAGGGGGGTCCACACCTGGCTCTGTGTTCAGGGATCACTCCAGGTGGTCCTCAGAGAAACATACGTGATGCCTAGAATCAAACGGGTTGGCCGCATGCAAATAAGCGTCCTACCCACTAGACTACCCCTCTGGCTCCTGAAATAATTCTTTAAGCACTGTCTTATAAAATGAAGAAAGCGAATCTGAGTTCATGGAGAGACTGATTTTCACGACCGATCATTTTTGGGGGGATATGTGGGGGTTTACTCCTAGCAATGCTCAGGGGTTACTCCTGGCTCTGTGCTCAGGAATCACTCCTGACAGTGCTCTGGTGACTCTATGGGATACTGAGGATTGAACCCAGGTTGGCCGTGTACAAGGCAAGTGCCCTCCTTGCTGTGCTATCGCTCCAGACCCTGATTAGCTGATACTAAGACATGCTGATGATACTGATGAGTCATTTTAGTCTGTTTTTTTGGTCTCAGTTTCTATCGTATTCTCAGGACAATAAAGAGGCAGGAATGCGTAGGCATCACAGAAATCCTTTGAGGAAGGAGGCCTGTCGTTTTCTGTTTACTTACCGACTTGTTCAGAAACAGACCCCAGGGATCCTCTGGAACGTTCTGACTCTGTCAGTGGCTTCCAAGTCTTTGCTGTCTCCGATCTGGGGGGAAATGGATGGACAGAAGCTCACGGTTTTGCTGGCAGCTACTGACATGGCACACGAAGCGGAGACTCTGAGGTCCCTTCTATGGGACGCCTTCTAGCCCTGCACCTTGCTGTATTCATGCAGTGCTAGGGACCCCTTGGTGTCGTGCACAGGCCAGGCAGTATTCGGCCATGTGAACTGTCTCCCTGGTTACTGCTGGGCTCTGTTTTATTCTGGCCTTGGGGCAATGACTGGTGGGGTTCAGGGGACCAGCGACACACTCAGCCCTGTGACCTGGGGCTGGCCCTGCTAGGTTCTTCCACTGAGACCAACGGATCAAGCATGGATGTTTTCTGTTGAAAAAAGATGCTTTCTTTTTTCAGGTTTTCAGGCCACACGCAGCCAATTGCTCCTGGCTCTGTGCTCATGAATCCCTCCTGGTGGGGCAAGGGGGACCATATGGGGCGCTGGGGATTGAACCCGGCCCGGTTCTGGGTCCAGCGTGTGCAAGGCAAATAAATGCTCTCCCTGTTATATTATTTCTCCGGCCGGGCATGAATGTTCTTGATTCTTTCTACCTACACACTTTTATCTATATTCCGTCACCCTAACTGTCTTTTCTCCAATCTGCAAGGACTGATATGCCAAATACCAGTAACAATGATGGGTCTCATTCTCCTAAAGAGCCTTGAATATAACCTCAGGGCTAGGATGAAGGAGACGTTACTGGGGCCTGCTCGAGGCAATCGACAAATAACAGGATGATTTGTGATTTGTGACTGATTTGCAAGGACTGAAAGCCAAGGCTCTAAAACAAGTCCAAAGTGAACTGCTTAAGCAACAGCTTCCACTCAAGACTCCAAACCGCAGCCTGGCTCGCCGTCTAACCAACCCCCCCCCCCCTTCTCCGATAATCTCTAGCCCTTGAATCTGGAGATTTCCTTCCTCGTTTATCAGCTCGCCTTAAACAAACGGCCTACATCCTGCTCCAGTCGCCCCTGCCCCAGCTCAACTACCACCCTCTTCCCCTTGCATCTGCAGATTCACCATCCTTATTTTCTTGCCTTCTCTTCACTTTCACTGATACTCGGTTCGGAGTCTCGGTTTGGAGTCCAGCCTCCTTGAAACTGCTCTAAAGAACGCTGCTTCCTCCTATGGAGCCTATGGCCCCCTCCCTGCCTCCTGGGGTGCACGGCCTCCCGGGCTAATGCTGAGACCCATAGCTCCTCCCCTTCTCTCTGGGTACACAGTTTTCCAGGCTGATGCTGTGAGACTCAGGGCTCCAACCACTAGGTAGACGGACAGAGAGATCAACCCTGGTATTTCCTTTTGGCTAATGCCACTCAGATGACCCACAGGGATCTGACATACTAAAGCCAAAACTAGTCACCCTTTTTTTTTTTTCTTTTTTTGCTTTATAGGTCATACCTGGCAATGCACAGGGGTTTCTCCTGGCTCATGCACTCAGGAATTACTCCTGGCACTGTTTGGGGGACCCTATGGAATACTGGGAATTGAACCCGGGTCGGCCGCGTGCAAGGCAAACGCCCCATCTGCTGTGCTATCACTCCAGCCCAAAACTAGACACTTTCAGTGAAAGAAATGGTTTTCCACTAAGATCTCCAGGACTCTGACTCTGCCCGCTCATAAGAGACACTCGAAGTTTTCCTCAATTCCCTCTAGCCTGCTCAGGAGTCAGCTGCTCAGATCTTCCTAAAAGCCACCGAGTCCCTGTTCTTGAAAGTTTCCAGAAAGAACTCTCTAAACTCATGCCAGGTTATGTCATTCTCTGGTCAAAATCCTTCAGGGGCTTGGTTAATAAAACTCTAAAACCATTCAGCAGTACATAGTACATCATGTAAAAACAAGTTTAGAGCCTCCAACGAAGAGGACACGAAGGCTTAGCCTAATGACCTCAGGAGGCTTATCAGCTTTGATGCTGGCGATTTTGAGGTAGTAGGTATGAGGTGATTTAAACTTTTATCTTTTTATCGCTTCCTCCACCAATATTCTGAAAACAAGAGCAACTGTAACAACTAAGGCATAGTCTGTATGTATGGACGTTTCTGTTCTAAGTCTTCTACCCCTCACCACCATTAGTCATGTCCTCCTAATATTCCTGCTTTGTAGGAATCTAAATACTGATTTAAAATGGGAGCAGAGTGGGCCAGAGACTTGCTAGAGAACTTGCTTTGAAGTCAAGATTCTTTCAGGGATACTAATGAATCAAAATGAACTTTTGTAATAAACACCCCTGCTTCTGAACTAAAAAATCTTCAAAGGGTTGGCAGTTTCTAAAAATTAAAAGAGTAAACAGATTTCTCAGAATCTGGCTTCTACGGCAGACTGGCACACATTCAAAAGAACAGGAACAACCAGTGCTGGCGCGGATGTGGGAGAAAGGGACCCACTCACTGCTGGCGGAAATGCCAACCGGGCCAGCCCTTTGGGAAAACAATATGGGCATTCGGCCAAAACCCTAGAAATCAAGCTTCCACACGACCCAGCAATATTGCTCTGGGAATCTACCCTGGGCCCAACGCCACACAGCAGAAATACCATCTGCACCCCTACGTTCACTGCAGCACTATTCACAGTAGCCAGAACCTGGGGATCCCCCAGCACCCGAGAACAGATGAGTGGACACAGAATTTGGTTTCTGTTTATCTTCCGCTCCCTTGAGCCAGTCTTAAGTATCCAGTTTCTAGGACACGTCAAGCTCTTTATCGCTTGTGGTCACTCCCAAAGGCCCTTACCTCGGGAATGTCCCCATTCCCAGGCCCACTCTTGCTTCCAGGTCCCAACCAGGCTGCAAGTTCGCAATTCTGGTACTTGCATTTATTAGAGCATCCTATTCGGGCCCTTCCGAGCCCCACAGCTGATGACTAGGGGGCTCTGCTCCTGTTCTCAGACACAAAGGTGGACTCAGTGTCTTACTAGTATAAACGATGGCATATATACAAATAGATATTTTTCTCAAGATAGGTTTCCAGAAGAAAATCAAAGTGAAAAAGTGTAGACTGCATGAGAACTCTGAAACAACGCCAAGCTCGTTCCAAGGGTCTATACAATGCATGGTGTCACTGTCTTCAATACTGGGCCCTACTCAGTACCTGCTCTGTTTCAGGGTTTCAGGATTCAAAATAGACTTTTTAATGTGTACCTCATTATAAATTTGATTTATATCCTACATAACAATTTCACTTTAGCAATTCTAGAGATACCAGTTGATATTTGCACTTCTGTATTTTCAGTCTGATAATAGACAAGCTTTGTAAGGGCGAAACTGACGCCATGACAGGCAGCAGAAATCAGCAAAATTAGCTAGGCCTCGGGTTCCCTTACAGAACAAAAACAGTCTCAGTGTCCCAGCAATGAAACAATGTGTAACTAGCCAACCTGAACCCACCTGGGAAAGTTCCTGGGCCCAGCAAGTGGGCTCAATCAATCACTATGCCCCAGTCAAAATGCCCCAGAAATTGCCTTTTGTTAACCCTAGAAGAACGAGCAGCTTATGTAACCATGAACTGTTACTGGAAACTTGTTTAACTATTGCCTGACCGTGTTACCCTAAACACTTGCCAAAACACCTTTCTTTGGTAACTAAGTAAGATTTCTTTCTGAAACAATAAGGCATGTACTGCTTATACAATCAAACCCTATACAAACTGCTTGCTGCCTGAAGTCGGGGTCGCTACCAAGAGACCACTCTGTGGGTGAGACAGTTGACAGTTGACCTCAGTATACTGGAATAAAACTCCTACTGCTTTTGCATTACCGAGCTTGTGTTTCTGTCTGTCCCGCCGCTTGGGAACCAAAAGCTTTCTTTCTTTCTCTCTTTTTTTTTGGTTTTGTTGACAAGCAAAATCTAGGCAAGTCATCAAAAAATGTGTACCTGTGCAGTGGAAGGGGCTTGATCTTGGGTTTCTCGGAAGCGGTGGAGAGCGTTTTAATCTGAGGCTTGGCGGTTGGTGACGTTTCCAAATCGCGATTAAGCTCAGCTTCAGTTTTCTTGATGAATTCGTCATACGACTAAGTCAGAAAAATCAGAGCATCACAATGCGGAATATTTTACAAAGTACTTTAAATGATACAACAGCGTATTTTATGACAAAATATTCAGATGGTAAAGAAAGAATAAAGATCTTTCACCCAGCTCCCGTAGAGCTTAGAAAATGGTTACGCCATGTTCTTGAAATGGTCTCAATATAAGCAGGACCTATGCCCGCAATTCCGCCCAGTCTGTCTCAGGCTATCACTGCAACCCCGACCAGTTTATCTAACACATAACTGCAACCCTGTCCAGTCTGTCTAACACATCACTGCAATTCTGCCCCGTCTGTCTTAGACTATCACTGCAACCCTGCCCAGTCTAACACATCACTGCAATCTCACCCAGTGTGTCTCAGACTATCACTGCAATCCCATCCAGTCTGTCTCCAACTATCACTGCAATCCCACCCAGTGTGTCTCAGACTAATACTGCAACCCTGCCCAGTCTAACACATCACTGCAATCCTGCTTAGTCTGTCTCAGACTATCACTGCAAGTCCACCCAGTCTAACACATCACTACAATCCCACCCAGTCTGTCTCAGACTATTTATTACTGCAACCCCGCTCAGTGTCTGGCTCAGACTACCACTGCTATCCTGGTATCAACTGGGAAATTGTCCCGTTTCAATCCACAGGAGGTTAATACATATGAAATGGGAAGTTTGCTCTGTGACAGGCGACTTCTCTAGGTAATTACAGTTATATATCATAAATATCATTTATTATAAAAGTATATAAGACATACTTATATATATGTTTATGCCATACAATAGGAAGAATGGCAATAACTAAGTATATCTTTAATTACACTCTGAACATTTTGTGGTCCCTTTACGATGGTCTGCCCACCAGCGTTTCAATGAGAGTCGTACCAGATGGTAAGGACTTGGGAATACAGAGGGAAGAGTATGCTGGGAGCAGGAAAGTTCAGAAGTACAAAACAAGATTTCAAGTTGCTAGTTATGCTAAAGCAAACTGAACCGGTTTATAATCCTAACTGGAATGAAACCGAAGGAATGCCCTCCACCTGTTCTCTCTTGCTCCAGCTTCTGGGCTAACTCCACCACCACTACTGGAGACTATTCCTATTAGCACGGCATTGAAGTCATTATGTACGAAGCAGGGGTCAATCTAGACTACAGAATGAATGCACACACAGACGCCTGTCAATCATTAGGCGTTTCCCCCCTAGGCTAAGGCCCTCCCTTCCCACTCTCCCTTCCATCACATTATCTTGCTCTGATAAAGTAACTAATTTTTCCTTTTGTTTTGGGGCCACACCTGGTGATCTCAGGGGTTACTCCTCACTCTGTGCTCACTCCTGGCAGTGCTCAGGAGACCTTATTGGGTGCTGGGGATCAAACCTGGGCCAGCTGTGTGCAAGGCAAACACCCTCCCCACTGTGCTCCAGCCCTGATACAGTAACTTTCGGCCTTTAAATATATACTAGAGTCTGGGGCAGAATCAGGCAGGCTGTTGGGGCCTGAGAGAAAAACCATGTAAACAGTGATTATTCTGTTACACTAACTTCTGGGGAATGATTCTGCTGGGGAAAAAAAGTCTCAATCTGCAATAATCCCAACAGCTGGAATTATAGATCTCCCAGTTCTGTGACTGAGAGGGCATAAGCACCCATAGGCCTGATATTTGTTATTTTAAAAAGACCCTTCCTTTAAATTATTTTAAAAATTCTTTTTTTTTTTTTTGGTTTTTGGGTCACACCCAGTGATGCTCAGGGCTGACCCCTGGCTCTGCATTCAGGAATCACTCCTGGAGGTGCGTGGGGGACCCTATGGGATGTCGGGGATCGAACCTGGGTTGGCCGCATGCAAGGCCAACACCCTCCCTGCTGTGCTATTGCTCTGTCCCCTATTTTAAAAATCCTTGATATGACGGTATTCAATGTTTTAAGTGAGATTTTTTTACTTAGAGAAGCTCAGCTTGCTGAAGAATGGGGTACAAGGGGGCACCAGATAACACGATCCCCGAATTCATGCCCTTCCGAGCCCCAGCCCTGCGCCCAGTCTGACCTCCAGCTGTTTGATCAGGCTGGCCTCCTGGGCTCTCAGCCTCTCCTTCTGCCTCTTTTTCTGCTCCTGCTTCAGCTGCTCTACCACAGACTTCCTTTTCCGCAGCTCATCCTTGAGGGCTCGGATCCGACCTTCGATGTCACTCTGGTCAGAGGCAGTTTCTGGAAGAGACCCCAAATCCCTAACTCACTCGCAATGCAAGAAGAGTGTAAACTCAGTGACCTAGTACTGGAAAGCAGCGGCCAAAAGCTCCATTTAAATAAAGTCGATCTCACACTGCAGAGGAAGAAATTTGCATTTCTGGGGAAAAAAAATGTATTGGCGATTTGTAACTCTCCTTTCCTGTATTCTTTTGAAAGAGTGAATTTGCTTTTACTTTCCAACTACGCTATCTGAAGCTGCAAATGAGTTTCCAGAGAGCCTGCTTCGGTAAGGTAAGTAGCTGGAAACGTACAAGTTCAAGGTCAGTGAAAGCTGTGAAACAGGTCACGCTTTAAGAAACTGTTTCCGGGTGAAAGAACGACACCTGGCCCACCACTCATTGGATATTAAAGGTTAATATCCGAGATCAATGCACCCAAGAGACGCAGAAACTTCCTAAAGAGGACATAGGAATGACCATGAAGGAACCGGCAGAGGAACCCAGGTGTGCGGGACCCGGGGCTGAGATCTCCAAGCCTGCTCGGTTCGGGACTGGGCCTCCTCCACCCAGATCCCCCCATCTTCCAGTAGCTAGACAGTTACACCCACAAACTGCGGTGTAATCCCATCAACGGCCAGGATTCAGAGACTATTAAACCAAGCTACCGGAAACGACGTCTTATTCTCTAGTTCTTGCTCTCAGAGAACCTGGAAGGCTGCTGAGAGTATCATGCCCCCAAATATGCCTGACTGGAAACACCTGTAAAGGTGATTAGAGGCTGCTCCAAAAACCTCCATCCCTTAGAGAACCCAGCAAGCTACCGAGAGTATCCCGCCCACATGGCAGAGCCTGGCAAGCTCCCCGTGGCGTACTCGATATGCCAAAAACTGCAACAAGGATGGTCCTCATTCCCCTGACCCTGAAAGAGACCCCAATATTCCATCGGGCTACACTAGCACGTGACAGGGATGAATGGAGACGTTACTGGCGCTCGCTTGAGCAAATCGATGAACAACGAGGTGATAGTGATAGTGATAAATGACCAAGAGGTATCTCGAAAAGTGCTCTGCATCGCTCATCGTCATAGAAATGCAAAGCAAGACGAGAACGAGAGATGAACGCACGGCAGAGGGACTGGCACATATCACAAAGCACAAAACGAGAGCTGGCCGGGATGCGCACTCACGGCTGGAAGACAGTGTGGATGTTTCTCAAAAAGCAAAACCGAAAAGTCGCATTTCCATTTGACCCAGCACGTTCACTTCTTGGCACCTGCCCTTAAGGGCCCTAAAGACACTTGCACCCCCGGGTCCACTGCGGCATTATTCATGGTGAGCAAAAGCTGGATACCACCCACGTGCCCAAGAACAGATGACTTCTGGGAGGCAACTCAGCCGCCATCGCTTGGCTTAAGAAGTATTCAACACAGACACACAAAAGAATCCTGGAACTGAGCAGCTCGCTGCAGAGATGGCGCCGACTTTAAGCCAGGCTGACTTCACCAGGTGCCTCAGACCCTAGCAGGCATCATCCCTCCACCTGCCCCCTAAGAATCCCGGCAGCCGCCAACTTCCAGAACCCAATGAGAGGTGCAGGTACGTGGGTTCAAACTCCAAGCCTCAAGGGACAGAGAATGAGCCGGTCCTTCTCATCACCTCGTCCCAACGAGAGGTGCAGGTACGTGGGTTCAAACTCCAGGCCTCAAGGGATAGAGGATGGGCTGGTCCTTCTCATCACTCGTCCCTGTGGGACCCTGGAGGTCACGCCCACAAACTGCCTCTGGCTGCTACTGAAGCTTTTGAAGGGCCATGATCCAGAGACACGCACGAAAGAATCTCAGAACTAAGCAGCTCGCTGGAGAGATTTCCTCAGATCTTAATTATCTAAAATTTCAGAATGCCAGGAGTGCACGACGACTATTCTTGTGACCGCATGACATCTTATGCTATTCATAACAAGCAATGCAAAATAAATGATCTAGCATCTGCCTTTTCAGCAGGTTTGAGCGGTGGCAGAAAAATTCAAAATAATGGTGGTGGGAAGGTGTAAGGGTGGATGGACTGGTGTCAAAATATTGCATGGAATCCATTATTGCAAACAACTATAAAATAAACTTAAATTTTTTTTAAAAGACATTTTCAATACGCAAAAGTGAAAAACGAGCTAAGTCTGTCGGTGAAAAGTCAAGCAGTGTGTGATGTAAGGGGGATACCTCGACAGAGACTGCACGGGAGAGAAGTCAGATGCAGCATGGAGCACCCCCGCCCCGCCCCGCCCCCTCGCTTACCGGACTGTGTCACGGACAGAGACTCGTCGGACCAGCTGGGAGAATGCTGGTGGGACCTGGAGGGCAGGCGGCCTTGGCTGCCATTCCGATGGCTCCCTTTGCTGGACTCCTGCTTTGACACAGACGTGCAGCTTTTGGGAGGTGACTGTTGGAACAGAAAAGCACAGGACAGCTGTTCTGTGACACGGGCTTCACGGCCTAGAGAAAATTCCAGTCCCCGAGGCTGGAGAGACAGTCCAGGCCTGAGGGGCGCTGACCACTTGGATCCAAGGCAACCTGCAGTCCTTCGAGCACCACCGGGTGCAGTCCTGGAGGGGGCCGGGGTATACCCAGCACTGCGGGGCCTGAGCAGTGCTGAATTCAGGTTGTCAACATTGCCAGGAGGGGAACTCCAGGAGACCCCAGCCCCTCACAGGGGGCTTACAAAACTCTCTTTTTTGTGGGGGAGGGTGTCAGACCCGGCAATGCTCACGGCTGACTCCTGACTCTGTGCTCAGGGGTCACTCCTGATAGGGCTCGCAGGACCATGGGATGCCGGGTATCGGTGCACAATCTCTCCAGCCCAGTTTTCAATCATTCTGACATAAGGAGTAAGATGCAAAAGTTGGCAGACTACATCAAAGGTCTGCCTCGATGATTTGTAAAGGGACATAAAGTCAGAAAATGCGTAAGTTAGGGGCTGGAGCAATAGCACAGCGGGGAGGGCGTTTGCCTTGCACGCAGTCGACCTAGGTTCGATTCCCAGCATCCCATAGGTCCCCTGAGCACCGCCAGGAGTGATTCCTGAGTGCTTGAACCAGGACTAACTCCTGTGCATCGCTGGGTGTGACCCCCCCCCCAAAAAAAAGCGTAAGTTAAATAAACCTTTTTTTTCCCGATTGAAACTCAACATTTTAATATCTTTAGAGTAAAACAATGAAAAGGAAAATGAAAGCAAATTACTATGAACAACTTTATGAAAATAAAATTAAAAAGAAAAAGAAAACAAGAATGGTAGTCATAATCAGAAAAACCCTTACTCTTACTCTTAAGGTCCTATCACTGACCTCTGCCCCCTTGCCAACCACTAGTCCCCCCCACCACCACCACCACCACTTAAGTCTCTTTTGGGTTTGATTTGGCATGTTGGCATGGGGTTTGAGCCACACCAGGCAGTGCTCAAGGCTTACTCCTGGCTCTCAGGAATTACTCCTGGTGGGGCTTGTGGGAGATCATATGTGGGGCTGGGGATAAAACCAGGGTCAGCTCCGTGTAAGGCCAGCACCCCCCCTGCTTGCTACACTATCTGATGGGCCCTCTCTCAGGTCTTTAAGACTAAGCTCCCTCAGCTCAGTGCCTGGCACCTCAGAGCAAAAGCTCCCTGTCCCTGGAATATCTCCGCATGTCTGGGGGAGAAATAAAATGCGAATAATAAACCTGGAGCTATCACACAGCAGTTTATTCTCTTTAACTCTACAGAAAAGTTCTCCTTCATAATTTAAAACAATATTAAATGTGGGGTTGCTTCAATATCCACTTGGCTGCTTTAACGCTTTCCTCCCTTCAGACCAATACCCCCAGGTGGAACCGCTGTGTCATACAGTAATTCTCCACCAAGGAGGAACAGATTGAGCAAATCTGATGTAGGGCTGGGGACGGGCAGTGGCTGAGCCATTGTTTTGCATGTGTGGGGCGCTGGGTTCGATCTCGGGCACTGCAAACACGTGAAGGTGCCGGATGGGTCCAGGAGACAGTTCTGAAGGTGGGCAAGGCTCTGAGCTTGATGTCTGCCCCCCTGTGTCCCCACCTGAGCACTGAGGGGCTCAGCCATGGGGGTCTGAGAAGCTGGATCCAAGCACCAGCGCCTCCCCAGGCCAGGGCATCGAACCAGGCACCTGGTCCAGAGAGCCATTCTGAGTGCCAAGGAGAGATGAGATCTTATTAGAAAATCACTTCAGAATATTCTAGTTTTTATCTCCTTGATTTTTCTGCAAGAAAACAGTAACAATAACAACACCACCATTTTTTTTTTTTGGCGAGGAAAAAAAAGGCCATTCTATCAGATGGAGGCTATTCTGAATCTCAATAACAAATTCAATGACTTCCCACGAAGTCATAAACTAGTACGACTGTGTTCAAAGGCAGAGCTCAGTTGTGAATTCCTGGAAAGCAAGAATCATGCCACAATCATCTATTCCATAAATGGCTTATTACGTACAACTATGAATTCACTACTGTAGAATTTAACTAGCGTCTTTTTTCTATTTTATTTATCTTTTTCTTTTCGGGTCACACCTGGTGATGCTCAGGGGTTGCTCCTGGCTTTGCACTCCAGAATCACTCCTGGCAGTGCTCAGGGGACCATATGGGATGTTGGGAATCGAACCCGGGTCGGCTGCATGCAAGGCCAATGCCCTACCTGCTATGCTATCACTCCAGTCCCAACTGGCGTCTTTTTCTAAACTTAAAAACTGTTTTCAGGCCTGAGACTTAGCTCCAAGCCGCTCCTACC